TCTTTCAAAAACTCTACATTGCTGCTGAATATTTCTGAAGTGGTTTTGCGGGTGATGGATAGTTCTGAATCCACAGTGCCATGTGTGAAGAGGTAGAAACAGAGAAATGCCTTCTGCTTCTCCTGAGAGAAAAGTTGCTTTTTCCTGGGTGTAAATATGTGTGGTCAGACAGGTCCTCACCAATACCTGAGGAGGATTCATTATGATTGGTTTTAATCCTTCCTGAGCAGGAGGAAAAAGGTTAATTTCCTGGGTAGAAGCATTTGTCTGGTCCACAGACTGCTCAGAGGACTGGGGGAGGCGGAGAATCACTCAAGAATGAGAAGATGGGCTAAGTTTTCACAGGTCTGTTGTTCTTTATCTATTTATTATAGCCGATGATAGCAGTGAGGTTGTGCTGAGTGGCTTGTAGAAACAACTGAACGATGGTTTCCTTTCCCTCTACCCCGTCCCTGGAGCAGGTGCAGCTGGGAAAGTCTCAAGTGAAGCCGATTTGCTAAAGCTGTACTGGTATGGATGGCATGGAAAATAAAGCATTTTTAACCAGGGTGCAAACCTCCTTGTGAGATCCTTTAAATTCCTTTTTTTGAGATGGGGGGAACCTCAAACGGCCGGAAGTGAATCTCCATCTCCTTTGGGGAGACAGCAGTGGAGGTTCTTCATTGGAGGTTCTTTTGTGTACTGCTATTGAGCAACCACTTGGGAACCTTAATCCCAGGAAAGCATGAGCTGGTCTATAATCGCTTTCTAGTCTCAGGAGCACATGGGTGGGTTTTTTTAAAAAATGCGGTAGGCATCAAGTAGATAACCCCAAGGATTAAGAATATATTAGACTATTTAGACTCTAGTCAGCAAGCATAAAGTGGGGAATTGCTCTGAGTATCTGGATTACCCTCGTGAGTCAGAGTTGTTGCTGTGTTCTCATAGAGTGAACTCTTTTGGGGAGACACTTTCCTTTCGCAGGGGTAGGGGAACACTGCTAATTTTAAGGCAAGAACTGATAGCTGGGAAATGGTAATAAACCTGAGGACTGTAGTCAGTATCAGTGAGCTGAAGCTGCATTAGTAATTAAGTGCATTATCTGCAGTGTTCCAGAACGCGAAACTATTATCTGAACGTACTCACAAAAGGCCGTCTTGCGTTTGAGGAAGAAACTTTTCTGTGGATTCTGTTCTGTTGCAGAAAGGAAAAATTTTGCCATTATCTTTTCAATTCTGGAGGCTTGCAGAGTTACTTAACTGCTGAGTATTTATTTGGATAAGAACTGGTAAGTATTTCATCCTGTGCCCTTGAAATCAGACTCTGTCCCTTTTGGCCTGCCCCTTAGCAAGCTAATCACCATTCTCTTTTTTATTGCAATTGGTGTGTTTGATGTTAGAGCACTCTGCTTCTATGAGACTTCATTTGTTGTTGCTGTTATGCTTCGCCTCTCTGTAAGTCTTGCTCTAGTGCTGCCAGTTTAAAGGACCTTCTTAAATTAATGTGGTGAATCTCAGTTCTTATAAAGTAATCATCTCTTAGCTTTATTAATCCCTTCTTATTATGAGTCCAGGGGCAGCTAAAGGCTTAGACTAGAGCAGCTCTCTGCTGCGTCATGCCCGACCCGTAAGTCTATTGAGCCAGCACTGCTTTCTCTGTTTACAGTCTAAATAGGAAAAACCAAAACTGAGAAGGAAAACAGATACCCTGTCATTAAGGGGCTTGACCGAGGCCACAGAGCAGAGCTGTTTGCAGAGCACCCTGATTCCCTGGTGACTGCTGTCCTTGTCAAACTTATGGAAGCCATGGAGCTGCCTGCTGCGTTGCTGCATGGGAACATTGAAGGTAATTAGGTGTACATGAACATTTCTCTGATTATCCTCTGGATATATAATATTAACTTTCCCAAGTTACACAGAGAAGATGATGCACAATTATTTGCCAGCCTGCATATCTGAGAAGTAGCAAATGGAACAGTCCTGACTCCACTGAGAAATGAGATGCAAAGAACTTGCACCGGTAGAGGCACCGGGGTATATTGGTTTTGCTCATAAATCTTCTAAAGTACCTGGCTGGTAAGATTTGCTTGCCTCGCTCAACATCCCAAAACAGTTCTCTGGTTTAATACAGGTGTTCTGTTTTTGTAGAAGATGGGAAGGAAGCCTGTTGGCCTGGAGGTGAAGCCCTGCTGCATTTTTTGGAGCGGAAAAAGCCATCAAGGCAGTCTTACTTTTTCCTGCACCTCTGGTGGGAAGGTAGGGCTCCTGCTACTCCTGTACCAAGCAGGAAATAGTCATCCACGGCAGAGTGATACTACGGTCATGCCCTCCTGTTGCCACTGAAACTAAACTGCGGCGACAGCCATCCTCTCCCTTCCCTTAGACAGCTTTTCTCAATTCTTACCTTTTCCAAGTCAACTTTTAAAGGCCAACTACACTAGGAGGAGCTCTTCCTCCTTCATCTCCTCTCTCCCTGCTCAGCTAGCTATTCGCCAAAGCTCCGAGTTGCTTTCGTGTGGGCTGCTTACTCCCTGCCCAGCTCCTTAAATCCTCCGGGCTCCTCTGGGCATGTAAGCTCCCCTTGGGGTACGAACGAAACACTAGTTCCACCGACCCTTTTCCATACTGTGCTTGCTGGGCGTTTCACGACAGTCAGCCTCTCACTACGCTTCTCCTGTTGGCTCGTTTGCAGAAGTGGCTGAGGCGCTCTGCATTTCGCGGCTTCGCTGTCGTTATTCCTTTGTCAGTACAGACACAACCCCAGGCACGCCGCTGCCAACACGCAGGCCGGCAGCCAACGTCCCAGCTAACATCGGTCCGGTTTTTTCCTTCGGTTTGGTTCACTCCGAGAGCCGCAAAGATCAGGCAGGCCACGCGCACAGAACGCTTGCTTCCGTAGCTCCTGGCGCCAGGCGGGGTGAGCTGGAGCGCTGACCCCGCGGGCACAC